AGCTCAGAGGTTTGAGCATTGGCCTGCTAAACCCAGGCTTGTGAGTTCAATCCTTGCGGGTATCACTTACAGATCTGGGGCAAAATCAGTACTTGGTCCTGCTAGTGAAGGCAGGGGACTGGACTCAATGATCTTTCAGGGTCCCTTCCAGTTTTAGGAGATAGGATATCTCCATATATATTATTACTAACAGGGCCCTACATGTAACAGGGAAGCCTGCCTCAGGCACCCTCTCTCTTGAATCTTTTCTCTGTGTTTCACTTCCTTTTCACATATAAGGGGTAATTGTTTCTGCAGAGTATTGCTTCCTATTGCAGCAACAATCTTCCTCCAGCTGAGAAGGAAGAATTCATTACTGAGTGTTTCTCCCACCAACACCACCTTCTTTTGACACAACCTGCTCATTTCTGCACTCCCAGACCCTGACCTGCAGATTGGAACCTGCCTTGAAGAGTTGAAAACAGAGCAATAAGGAAGACCCAGTTCACCTCGCACAGAAACAGAATAATCATAAGACAAAGAAGACAAAGGGAAACAATAAGAGGGAAGTGGGTCACATCTGTGTTATTACAAGGACTCCATATTGCATCAGTTTTGCAATATGTTCCTTGAGATGTCACTTGCTGTCCTCATCCTCAGGATTCAGGAAAGCCTCCTGGTTCACAAAAGGAGAAGGATGGAGGAGTGACTAGGGTACTAGCCTGGGACATAGAAGAGCTGGGTTTAATTCCCTGCTCTGCTACAGTTGTCCTGTGTGACCCTGGGCAAATCACATAGTCTCTCTCCATTCCCTATTTGTAAAATGGTGATAACAATACTTCTCTATCTTACAGGCAGAGACGACTGATACTTGCTGATGGGGGGGGGGTACAATTTAAAGGTTCACCCCACACACACCGTTTGAGTCATGCCCCTCCCTCTTACCCTCAGTGGCCCCTCCCTGCGGCTGTTTGCTGCTGCCTCTCTCTCTAAAACTTTGTTCTGCACCATTAGTGCCAGACAACAGAACTTCACTAGGGCTTTCCTGTTGACTCCTATTGGGCCCTACGCAGCCTCCAAACCCTTCTCAGCTCCTGGAGCTAATAGTTATTTCAGAAGGTGAGTCTCATGCCCCTTCATTTTCCCATCTTGCCACAGCACCGGTGGAAACAGATAGATAGAACTTCATTGTGATAATGTCCTTTGTACTTCTGGAGTTAAAGTGCTCAGGGCTAGATAAATGTGATAAATGGCAGAATAGTGGGTTACTGGGTGGTGATATTCATTAGTAGGGCTACAATTTTGTCACCCAGGTCATGGAGATCGCGAATTGAATAAAGTCTGTGAAACCAAGTGGATTTGCAACCTGGCATACGGGCTTGCAGTGCCACACAGGTTTGGCCCATCTGCCCCTCCATCAACAGGGAGCAGATAGGCCAGACCTAAGTGGTGCTGTGACCATATGTGCCAGGTTGCAATGCCCAGAGCGGGGAGCCAGGCTCAGACTCGCAACACACACACCAGGGCCGGCGCTTCCATTTAGGCGACCCAAGCGGTCGCATAGGGTGCCAGGATTTGGGGGGGTGGCATTTTGCTGCCCTTGGCGGCAATTCAGCGGCGGGGGGGGGCCTTCCGCGCTCCAGGTCTTCGGCGGCAATTCTGCGGCGGGTCCTTCACTCGCTCCGGGACCCGCCGCCGAAGTTCCCCGAAGACCGGGAGTGCAGAAGGACCTCCCCGCCGCAGAATTGCTGACGATGACTGGGAGCGCGGAAGGACCCCCGTGTAGGGCGCCAAAAACCCTGGTGCCGCTTCTGACACACACACATACATACACACACACCTACCTACCTTTCAGCACCTTCTGGCCACTGGAGTGAAACTGCGGTGAAAAAATGTCAACAAGTGCAAGCAAGGTGGGAAATATTTGGTGACCTTTCTGTGACGTATCTATTTTTTCCTGCACCTTTGATATGAAATTTACTAAAAATTTCCATGCCAGAATTGTAGCCTTATCCATTAGTAATGTAGGAACTCAAATGAGATACATCTGATTTTTGCTACAGTCCTGTGGAGGAGTTTGATTTTGCTTTGTTAGCTGCAAACTGCCAATCAGAAGCATGCCATCTACTTTATGCTGAAATCCTAGCTTCCTACAAGGGAAGGTGTGCAAATTTAAATTAAAAAAAAAGTTAAAATTCAGTAGTTAGAATTCAGTATCAGTCTTAAAGGGAAAGTTCTAACCTGAACTCCAGGTATATATGTGTGTGTATAGATATTTGTAATGTTAGAAGTGGTTTCAGACTTTACTTCTGTTCCCCTTGTATGCACATGACAATGTGGTTTGGAAAATCATATTTTCCTATTTTTAAAAAATCCTTTACTCTCCCCTGTTGCCATCTGAAAGAGCAGCACAGGGAACAGGGAAAACTGACCATAAGGAGAAATATGTAAAATTGATTACACTTAAAATGCTGTCAAAGGCATAAAGTAAACAAACTGAAAAATAGAGGAAAAATACTTTTTCGTCTAATCACTTTCAGTTTTAGTAATCTTAGGTAATAATTGTAACTGTAATCAGCCAATCAATTTCCAACAGAAGTGTGGTTTGTGTTTTTAATTATTTTTTTAAAATTCACAGTATCCCTTTAAAATATATATTGTTTAACTTTTGTTCCTTCCATGTTTGTGTAGAGAAATAGTCTATAGAAAATATGTAAAGTTGGTCACACAACTTTTTTTTTTAAAGTAGGGACTATGTATAATATGCAGCCAAACTTCCTAAAACTAATCAGTCTTGCATGATGAACTGACATTGTTGAAATCACCCTAGATTTATCATCATCAAGCTGAACTCACCAGGATACAAAGCTAAAGATAAAAATATTACAGCCAGTAATAATTCATCTAATGTAAAAACAACTGTCTGAGGCAGTTCAGATACTACTAACTTCCTATGGTCTGATTAGACTTTTTTCATTTAGCTACGAAGAAGAAAGAACAGGAGAGAAAAATATGAACATTTTGTACTGTTTCACACCTATGCAAGCTCAGTGCCATTTAAAATAAAAGGAAAAGGGTGAAATCCTGAACTCAGTGAAATCAATGGGAGATTTAGGCAAAATTCCCAATGATTTCAATGGGACCAGGATTTCACCCAAACTATGGCTCTGTTTAATTTTTTTCCTTCTAAAACAGCCCTTTTGAGTTTCTATATTGAACAACTGTTTTAATGGATTTACTCTCACCACACCTCTTGCCAGCTGCTGTCAAAGGTTTGCCTTGTTCTGATTAGTTGGATATTTGGAAGGGAAAAACAAAGTTATTCATCCATTAGTCATATTTTTCAAATGCTAGTTATTAACAAAGAATTATTGTTAAGGCTGCTTTTAAAATGGATTAATTTTTGGTTTCTCTTTTTCTCTCTCTGTATATACAAATTTCACGTTTAAAATCAAATGCAATGAAAAGCACTAAATTCCCTTTTAAAATATCCCTGCGTCACACTAGCATTTTTTTTCAAAGTAACATAAAATGTAAATTCATCTTTGGGCCAGACACTTATAGAAAGCATCTGTAAAATTAAACTTCCAATTCTTCATTGTGGATCCTTGCACTTCTTGCTTGTTAAGGGCTAATAAAAATCCCAAAGAAGTATCAATATGCAAAGCTGATGTCATATTAACAATAATTGCCTGGCAAGAATGATTGTTTTATTTCTCTCTGTTTCTGCCTAGAGGTTAGAGCCAGGAACTGGGAATTTGAAGATCAGGGCAAGACACTAGTGCGATGAAAGGAAGTGGAGCTGTTCTTTAGTATGAATACTGTATTGTAACTTGGTTACTGGGATGTTTACTGTAGGATTATGTTGATTTAGTTTTTGTTGGAAAAAACACACAGGAAGTCAACTGAAATATTCCTATGGACTTGTGTGGGCTTTGGATCAGGTCCTAAATGGCCTGATCTCCAGAAGTGCTGAGAATTTACAATGCTGATGAAATACCCGGGAGCTGTGGATGCTTGGAACGTTGAAAATCAGCCTGCATTAATTTCAGTCCCTCAATAATAGTGTGGTAAATAACCGTGGGGTACAAAACTTGTAAGTGTTGGCTTTTATCCCTAGATGTACAGTCCGGATAATAATTCTTACTCGTCCATGTAAAGCACTTTGAGATCCTTGGTTGAAAGGTCCTCTCAATAAAAGCATTATTCTACATAAAACTGTGAGTATGTAACTGAAAATACACACAATCTACTATACACCTATGCAAACAATCTTATTTTTCCAAAGAGGTTTCCTTGTATAGACTTCACTTGAAAATTAGCACTCTCATGAGATCAGGATAAAGATAATTGAATGTAACATTAAACTGACGACTGATGTTTGGCAGGTATTGCTAATGCTATTTCACTCGTTAGTTATGAAGAATTCCTGCTTGATACTAAGTAACACAGCAGTGTTTTTCAATTTCTTCTTTTGCACAGTTGCCATAATCCATAAGTAATTGTTTAAACATGTAATCAGCATCATTTGTCATTCGCCCCAGGCCATTAGGAAATGGTGTCAAGGAGAAAAAGCTGAACAGCAATATGGTCCTTCTTTGGATTTTGTATCCAGTTTCCAAATATTCATCAGTAAAGGAGAAGATGCTGACAGAGAAAAATGTATCAAGAGCTTTCTGCCTAAAGTCATTCAATTTCCTATTCCAGTGCAGGAAAGTGGCTATACTTACAGATGGGTGTATTCTTTCACAACATGAAAACATGACACTATATTATCAGTGCTGAAATGTAAAGAGCAGCGGTTATTTAGCACCTGGCTCCCACCAGCAGGCTGACAACTCAGAGAAATGAAAATGGTACATGTACATTGTTAGACAGCAAGAAATAAACAAGCTACTCAATATCCACTCCCTGTAAGAGGGAAGCATCTAGCTCACAATCTATACATAGAATGCTGACAATCTACTTCCCCTCTGGGGGCGAGGAGGAAGGACAGTAAACAAACGGTTATTTGCTCTTACCTTGCTGCAACCTGGTGATGCTTCTGCTGTCTAGTCTGAGAATGAGAGTACAGGAACCAGTGCAGCGGCTTATTGCTGCATTGGATTACTCAAACTATGTATTTAGTAATTAGACAGTCAGGCATTTGTTAGCTAGATGAGCTATAAATACCCTATCTCCAAAGAACCAGCCATCTACAGGAGATAAGAACCACAACACCTCAGTGCAGCCAGCCTTTTAAGGCAGCGTAATTACAGTAGCACAAGACCTGTAATGGAAAGGAACTGCCCTGCTCTTAGCAACCCCCATCCCTTTGTTCTGTTTAATTTGGGGACAGCTGAGCTTTATATATACTTACCCATCTGTGTAAAGTGCTTTGAGATCCTCAGGATGTTACACTACTTAACTATTAGTATTTTATTATAAATATCTGAACAATTAAAAAGCCTAATTAAGTTTTTATTTATCACATGAGATCTTAAGGCTTATTAAAGACATTTAGGAAGTTTCTATTGGTCTATGTATATAACAGAATTTCAGTTCCTTTAAGTAATCTAGCTAGGGTATATGGCCCCATTGCCATAGAATCTGAGCACCTCACAGTCTATAATAGATTTACCTTCATAACACCTCTGTAGCTAGGAAACTGCTATACGCCCCACTTTACAAATGGGAAACGGAGATGAAGTTATTATGCAGTTATTATGCAGGCGAGTTAGCATGCAGCAGCTGGGGTGTAAATCTAAAGTGCACTAGCCTGCTGTGAACTAACTGGCCGTGTGGCCCCGACTATCATGCACTAAAAGTCCATGGTGCACAGCAGCTCTAAGCACACTACGATCAGGAATTCGGATCGACATGGACAGTTAGTATGCAGCAGGCTAGTACACCGTGCACTGTAGATTTATATCTTAGCTTGCCAGGTACTAACAACTCTCTGTATAAACAAGCTTTAAGTGACTTGCTCAAGGTCACACAGTAAGTCTGTGCCAGAGTTGAATTGAACTGAACCAAATCCCAGCTAGCTCCCTAACCACTGGATTATCCTTCCTTTCTAATGAAGTTGTTACATCAGCTGAAAGAAATATCATGCATTTAGGGAACTAAAGACCTATTGTATAATCACAGAGATTAGAGATGGAAACCATTAGATAGGCCTCAGTCAGGGTAAAGCCCTGAGTCTGTTCAAAGCCTCGTTGACTTCAGTAGGGGCTGTGTACAGGTGCCGGGATCTGCCCATGCAGTTCTCAGGGCAGGCCGGACACTATAGCCCATCCCGTTGCCAATGCAATATACCTACATCACTGTGATGATAGGACAGTTGCCCCAGAGTTCATAGATTCCAAGGCCAGAAGGGGTCATTGTGATCATCTAGTCTAGTCTAATGCAGAGCTTTTAGGAAAAATATATCCGATCTTGATTTAAAAATGATCAGTGATGGAAAATCTACCGCAACCCTTAGTAAATTGTTCTGAAGATTAATTACTCTCACCATTAAAAATGTATGCCTCAGTTCTAGTCTGAATTTGTCTAGCTTCAACTTCCAGCCATTGGATCATGTTATACCTTTCTCTGCTAAATTAAAAAACACATTCTTCAATATTTGTTCCCCATGTAGGTACTTATAGACTGTAATCAAGTCACCCCTTAACCTTCTCTTTGTTAAGCTAAATAGACGGAGCTCCTTGAGTCTATCACATGTTTTCTAATCCTTTAATCATTCTTGTGGCTCGTCCCTTAACCCCTTCCAATTAATCAACATCCTTCTTGAGTTGTGGGCACCAGAACTGGGCACAACATTCAAGCAGCAGTTGCCAAATACAGAAGTAAAATAACCTCTCTACTCCTACTCAAGATTGTCCTGTTTATGCATCCCAGGATCACATTAGCTCTTTTGGCCACAGAGTCACACTGGCAGCCCCTGTTCAGCTGATTATCCACCTCCGCAAATCTTTTTCAAAGTCACTGCTTCCCAGGATAGAGTCCCTCATCCTGTAAGTATGGCCTACATTCTTGGTTCTTAGTTAAATATGTTTACATTTAGCCGTATTAAAACACATATTGTTTGCTTGCGCCCTGTTTACCAAGTGATCCAAATTGTTCTGAATCAGTGATCTGTTCTCGTCGTGATTTACCACTCTCCCAATTTTTGTGTCATCTGCAAATTTTATCAGTGACGATTTTATGTTTTCTTCAGATCATTGGTAATAATGTTAAATAGCATAGGGCCAAGAACCCATTCCTGTGGAATCCCACTGGAAATGCACCCACTCGATGACGATTCCCCATTTACAACTACATTTTGAGACCAAAGTTGAAGTTAGCTTCCCATATTAAGCCCGATTTTGAAAGCTCACCATAACTTCCAGTCACAGGATGACACTGGCCCTTTAAGAGGGAAGAGGCCAGTGTCCTGGGGTACGTCTTCACTACCCGCCGTATCGGCGGGTAGCAATCGATTTATCTGGGATCGATATATCGCGTCTCGTTAAGACGCAATATATCGATCCCCGAACGCGCTCACCGTCGACTCCGGAACTCCACCAGAGCGAGCGGCGGTAGCGCAGTCGACAGGGGAGCCGCAGCCGTCGATCCCGCGCCGTCTGGACCCCAGGTAATTCGAAGTTGCGTATCTTGGATCGATTTCTCCTCCCCCGCCCCCCAGTGTAGATCAGCCCCTGGACTAGTAAACTGACCCCAATTGGTCTTAAAAGAACGTGAGAGCTGCCAGAGACCAGAAGACAGTAGGCAGTCCTGAAGGAAGCTGTAAGTGTGGGGGAAGGCAGGAGAACAATAAGAGGGATTGCCTGCTGACCTCCCCAAGCCAGAGATCCAGGGCCTGATAGCTGGTGAGGGCAGAAGGCAGCAGAGAGAGTTGCCTGCTGACTTTGAAGCCAAAGCAGAGGGTTGAAGACAGAGGGAGCAGTGAAGGGCTTGCCTGCTGATGTCTCCATGCTGGAGCCAGGTGGAGCCAGGGACCAGTGGAAAGGACTGCCTGTTGGCCCACCTGAGACAAAAGGTTAATGGAACCGGAAGTTAATGGATGGTCTCCTGGGAAGGAGGCACTATCAGCAGAGGTTCCAGCTGGGAAGAGCAGGGTTTCACTTGGGGTTGGCTGTCCTGGCAGAAGGAGACCAAAGAGGAGCCCAGATGTGGCACGAGACACCAGAACTACAGGCACTGGGTGTGATAAATAGAGTCTCATTTGGGGCTTTTGTCAGTGAAATAAACTGGCCCAAAGGAGGGGAATTCCTGAAGCGAGAGAGCTTGCATGGAGTTACTGGGGACTGGGAAGGAGGGAAAATGAGGTAGATGCACCTGTTCTGCCACAAGAGGCTGCTCCAGGAGGAGTCACCCTGTAACACATCCCCCCAAAAGAAACCAGTTTGGGGATTTGATAATATCACAAACCACGTGCCAGGTTTTCTGAAAAGTTGAACCTAAACTGAGTTTTGAGCAAGAGGGGGCAAGTTAAGGTTTGGATGGAACTATGCTAGGCGGTATGGTTTTGACCCCAAACCAATCAAAGCTTGGTATTCTGGGTTTCATTCTAACACAAGAGCTCAAAACAAAATATTCTCAAGTAATGCAAATTGTCACACGAATAAAGTTTGCTGGAACTTTCGCACAGCTGTTTCCTAGGAGTTGTCCATATAAATCCCCCACTTTCAGGCATCATGACAAGGAGCATGATCTGAAAACTTAGATTAGGGATGGGAGAACTATCCCATGGCTTCCTAATGAAAACATTCTTCATCACAGAGTTAGCAGCCTTGTGCCACATGTTACTGTAGCTACTGTGTAAACAGTCCTTTCTCATTTCCCAGAACAATAAACAGTTATGAAAAGCTGTATAAGCATCAAGAATGCAGCAGTTAGGACATGTTTTTGGACAGCTCTGGAAAGCCTCAACCTTTCACATTAGCCAATTTTTTGTTTTAGTTATTCAAAGGTCCCAGCTACACTATAAAAATAAGCTGGATGAAACATGTATGCAGTGTTGATTATAGCCATGTTGGGCCCAGGATATTAGACCTGAAGAAGAGCTCTGTGTAAGCTCAAAAGCTTGTCTCTCTCTCCCTCCAACAGAAGCTTGGCCAATAAAAGATATTACCTCATCCATTCTGTCTCTGGTTGTCCCCAACACAGTTTCATCTTTCAGTGTGTTTTCATGATGCTCCTGAATCACATTAAATTCCCAGGCTTTAGCGTGATTTACAGGGCACACTTAGGTCCCATGTATACTACAAGATGGAACCATGCTGGCGACAAGCATGCTGTAATTTAGTCTCCTGAACCAGTTCATCTGATAGCACAGACAAGACCTAAGATGCAATGGTAAAATTGAAATACAAACATACCAGTCTCTGTAAAAAATGTAAATCATGCATCTTTTGTCATGACTATTAGTAATAACTGGGGGAAAATATATTTTACTAACCTGTCGAAGTATTTTTCCAACTAGAATTTTGTGGTTGGCACCCCTGGTTTAAACTGCTTCTGCTTCATTTTGGGGTATTCCATGATGAATCATTAGAGAATACTGGAGGAAAAAAGGTTTTTTTTTGACAGAGTGCTAAAACATCTATATAACCTCAAGGATCTGGGCCTGATTCTCCTCTCACTAATGCTGATAAAAATGGAGTGAGATCACTGAATAGGAGTGGGAGGCGACTCAGAGCACGTCTTCACGAGCAATGTTAAAGCGCTGCTGCAGCCAGGGCCGGCTCCAAGCACCAGCCCACCAAGCTTGTGCTTGGGGCGGCACCTGAAGGAGGGCGGCGCGGCGAGGCGCGGTGCTCTGGCTCCGGCCGCCAGGGAAAGTGGAGCCGCAGTGGGCTCGCTGCCCTCCCCCGGTGCTCTGGCCATCGGGGAAAGCGGAGCCGCAGTGGGCTCGCTGCCCTCCCCCGGTGCTCTGGCCGCCGGGGAAAGCGGAGCCCCGGCCGGCTCGCCGCCGGGGAAAGCGGAGCTGCGGCGGGCTCACCGCCCTTCTCCCGGCCAGGCTCTCCGCCCTCCCCCCGGCGCTCTGGCCGCCAGGGAGAACGAAGCCCCGGCCAGCTCTCCGCCCTCCTCCTGGCGCTCTGGCCGCTGGGGAGAGCGGAGCCCCGGCCGGGCTCTCCGCCCTCCTCCCGG